CTGCCCCGCAGGAAGCCGGGAGGAGCGTCATCTGGAGCAGAGGCTGTTTACTTTCCTTTCTTGGCTCTGGGCAGGACAGGCTATTTTTAAGCTTTTTCTCTTTTTTTTGAGAGTTGGTTTGCTTCCTGAGGTCCTTCTCTCTCCTCTGTGCAAGGAGCAGGAGAGAGGCGATGCTGAGCAGGGGAGCTGCAGCTGTGCTCGGTCCCACCGGGGGCCACCATTGCTGAAGGTGGCATCCCTGAGGATCGTGTTCATGGCAGCGGGTCTCAGTCTCAGAGGTGGAAACACAAACCCTGTGGGTCACAGTTCCTCTCCTTTCTCGTGCCTTCTCCATCAAACAACAAGGGATGTTTGACCTTCTCCAGACCACGCTGGATTCAGGGCAGTGGCCAAATGTGCCAGCAGGACAAGCTGGGTACCAAAATCCACGTGCAATCAGAGGCATAAAATGGACATCCCATCCCACAAAGAGCCACGGTGGGAAAGCTCTTGGGTTGTCCCCAGGCAAATCAGTGACACCGTTGGGGAGGGAATGCCACTGGGAACTGGGGGTCCTCTTGATTTTGCTGTCATAAACTGTGCTGAGCCATTTCCAACCCTCCCTTGGGGTGACGGTTCCTTGCCCAGCCCCTCGGTACCCCCTTACTGCCCATCGGGACCACAGCGCCGGCATGGGAGGCATTATTGGGATGGCTCGAGTCTCCTGCGGCCGTAATCGTGGTTTCACAGCTTTTCCTTAGGCTTTTTGAACTGCTTTGTGTCTGGACTTTGACCTTTTTCTCCTTTTTGCAGCAGGGCCCAGAAATACCTGGAGAAAAGCCATTTTTGGGTGTTACATTCAGTCCAGCCCTTCAATAAGGGCAGGGGATGGCTGTGCTCCAGAAAGACCGTGCTGGTGGCATTGGGCAGGTTTACCCGGGGCTTGGGGCACTTTGAGAGGTTTGAGGTCAAAGGAAAGGACCACGTGCAGCAGCTCCAGCATTGCCATCGAGTGACCCACCACCCGGTCACTGATGCCACTGTTTCTTTTGGCAGTAGCAAGTGGCAGGGGGACTGAAAGGAGCTGAGATGATGGAGGTGGCTTATGCAATGAACCCTTGAGGTCAGCAGGGCCATTTGTATCCAAAGCTCGTTATCGGGTCAAAAAGAAATCCCCAAACCACTTGGTATTGAGAAATTTCCAGAGGGATGTTCGTTAAGGAAAGATGCTCGCCAGCGTTTCCTTTGCTATCGGGTTCCTTGAGAGCATTTACTTTCAAACTGTTCCTCCAGACACATCTGTCATGAGGTTATTAGGCGGCTTTGTTGAAGGGAATAAAATGAGGCTGAGCTGGCTGGCTGGAGGAGTGACGAGCAGGTTTTAAAGCCTGACGTGGACAAAACTGAGATCCCATCCATCAGGGAGCTAGCAGCGCCTGGCCGGGCTGTGTCCTCCGCTGCTCTTGCCCCCCCAGCTTTGCTCGAGGCCGGGGAAAGGCTCCCCGTCGGGTCGTCCCTTCCGCTCCCTTTGTTTTCCTGCAAAATGCAAACTGGGCTTGACTGGTGCATTGTTTTAAACTTGGGAATTTTGGAAAAAATAGCTAAAATGTTCTTTTCTGGATTAAGGGTGTGATGGAGAAGGAAAGCAATAGACAAGTCTGTGCTGGAGAGTCTGAGCTCCAGCTCAGTTTTGGAGACCTGAGAGCTTTGAACACGTTGGAACAGCTCTCAGGCGTGGGACCTTTGTTTAGTGAGTTGTTCTGGGGGTGCTGCTAACTAAGACTGAGATGCAGACCTGCAGTGCACGAGATGTGCCAAGCACGGTCCAGGGCAGGGATTGCCGCAGAGAGCATCTCGCCTCTGCAAGCGAGTGGTGACATGGCTGGGAGGGCTCCGCGGGATTCAGAGAACAGAGCAGATAAAGTGGAGGAAAAACATCTTTATTTTTCTTTACCGCCTCCCTCCCTCCTTCTACCAATGCCTGAATATTTTTGAGATGCAGGACAGACCATTTTGTCACTAAGTGCACTTCATGGGGCCCTTCCTGGGTTTTGTGTGTTGTGCTTTGGTGCTTTCCTTGCTTCGTAGCCATAAAGCGGCCGCGGTGCCGTTTCCATCTAGTTAATATTGAGGGTGAATTGCCCCGTGCGTCCTTCCCTGCCCACGCCAGCCGGGACCCCCTCACTGGGAGCTGTGACTTCCCAGCAGTTCCCGTGCCAGGGTCTGAACCAGAGCTGGGGGACGTGGGTGTGTGTCCGTGCCCATGTCTGTCTGTCCCCGAGCACGGAGGGGCTCCCAGGAGGGGCTCGTGCAGGGTCACTAACACAGAGCACCCTGGGGAGGGTCCGGGTCCCAGCCTCTGCAGTGCCCGTGCTGGCTGGTTTTGCAGCCTGGCGTTCATATTTAGCAGTTTTTGGGGATTCCCCCCCAAAAGGGAAAGCAGCCCAAAGCCTGTATCCTAACACTTTAACCCCGTGTGCTTCCCTGTTTTGTGGCTTGTCTGACATGTCAGCCCCAGCTCCGAGGGTGGTCTTGCTTTCCTCGCCAGCACCTTTG